CAGTGAGATGGAATCTCAACAGCTCCCTGCAGGACGGTTTCCAGGACTGAATTAGTTAATGTCACCTGCAAACCACACACAGGAATCCTTGGAATGTCACAGTGCTACGCAAAGCTTTAGCCTTTGATGTTTTTCAATTTAATTTAATTTCAATTTCCAGAACTGATCTGAGAACTGACTTTCAGTGGAAGACAATGTGGGTCAGGAATGTCCCGTGCGCGGGTGTGAGTCCATCTCTCTGGAGATGCAGAGGGCCTGGGGGGTATGCATGCACCCCTCCACCCCATGGACCTACCGTGTCCCCGACAGTTCCGGGTGCCCTTAATGCTATCGTATGGTATGTTGTTATCCTCACAATTCTGGAAGAGAGGAAGGACTCCAGTTTACACATGAAGAAAGTCAGGGCTCAGAGAGGTGGACAACGAAAAGTTGCCCAGCTCTGATGCAGCTGTTTGCACCCTCAATTCCCATGAACCCAGGTGCTCAGGGCAGGAATCTCATCTCTCCTTCTCCTTCTCTTCCTCCTCTTCCTCCTACATCCTCCTTCGTACTGAGGATTGAACTCAGGGGCACTTGACCACTGAGCCACTGAGTCAGTGAGTCAGGGTCTCACTGACTGGCTTAGTGCTTCCCCATTGCTGAGGCTGGCTTTGAACTCATGATCCTCCTGCCTCAGCCTCCCAAGCTGCTGGGATTATAGGAGCGGGCCACTGTGGAAGGAGTATCTGGCCTCCAAATCGGGGACCCACTTGTGATATTGTGTAATAGACCTAAGCCCCCTTTGCCGTGTGACCTTGTCAATCCTCTATCCAGGGTGGAGTCTATTCCCATCCCTGAGTCTGGGCCGTTATTGATGAGTTTTTAAGAGCGTGATGCTGAGTCACCACCACTCAGTGGCTCAGGGCAACACCCGTGTATTCCCACAGTGTCCATCAGTCAGGGCAGCTTGCCTGGAGACTGCTTGTGGCTCCCAGGCTGTGGCCGAGGTGTCATCCAGGGGCGGCACTCACCTGAAAGCTCAGGGTCCTTCTGCGAGCTCAAAGGTGGTGACAGAAATCAGATCCTTGTGACCGCAGGACTGAGGTCCTCAGCTCTGAGAAGCAGCCCACGGCTCCTGCCACAGGACCCGCTTCACAGTGTGGCAGTTTGCCTCTTCAAGGACAAAAAAGGTGAGCAATTCTGCTGCCCCAAGTCACTGCCCTCAGGGAAGGTCTGGCCCCTCTTTCCCAGAGCCCCCCTCCCCCAGCTGGGTCACACCAGGACAAACTCCCTTTGAGGCAATTCAGAGTCAACTGATTAGGACCTTAATTGCATCCGCAAGAATCGCTTTACATTTTCCATACAACCTAATCATGGCGGGAAAATCCCAGTCTATTCCCTATAGACTGAAGGGGGAGCTCACACAGGACACGTACACCAGGCGGGACTAGGGCGGGGACCTTGGGAACCTTGAACTAGGCTCCCCACACCTGTGACCTGGGGGAGCACAGCTGTGTAACTTCAAGGCCAGGCCTTCAGAGACCTGGGGCTTTCCACCTTGGATGTGGCGTCTGCAGCTGTCACCAGAGGCCTAGGCTAAAGGCCTGACCCCAGGGTCCACCGAGTCAGGTCCTGCTGAAAACCATGAAAGGAACCTTAGTCAGAGCAGCTGCACCAGGAGACCA